ACAAAGCACCCAACCGGGGACTTGTGAGTATCCCCACACCCGCCCGGCGCCTCACACCTTGAGAAACTCAGGAGAAGAATAGAGTCAAACCCCTATCCAGAAGTAAGGTTCCAGACCCGACGCTGTGCGTAGAGGTGAGCCCAACGAGATCCAACTGGTAACGCTCCACCTCCCGCACAAGCTCCGACTCCTTCCACTCCCCAAAGCCAGCTTCTGTCACCCGGGTCTGGTCCGTCGAGACCCTCTGCCTTCACTGCCACCCTTCTGGCAGCGCACCCGACCCCATCGCTGTTTCCCGTAGGTGGTGGGCCCGCGGGACGGAGAAGCGGAGGTGTTGCCCACGTTGCCTTTTCGGGCTGTGCCCGGCCGGGCTCCGTGGCAAGCCCGGCCACCAGACGCTCGCCGACGAGTCCTCTTTCTGAGCCTGTTTTTGTGGTGGTGAAATCTATAATAACTATAAAGTCTTTGAATCTTGAAAATATCACTCACCCTTTTCTTAAATCGTCTGCAAAACATGGTTTTCTATTAACAAGAAGTTGTCTTATTATAAACTAAAAAGAGTGCTTTTCATTTCTGAGGCCTAACATGCATATAAATGTTCTGCTACATCATAAATATGTGAGACTTTCTTGCCTTTCAATGCCTACCGGGTGCCCTCAGGTAAAAAAACCTTTAAAGAGTTTGAGGTGTGTGTTATCTGCTACTTCTCAATAAAAAACATTTTCTTTAGATGACATAAAAGCAAAGTTGACATCTGCATCAAAATGTTTTTTTAAAATAAGAAGTTTTCTTCCTCCTCAAAAATATATCTGAAGAAGGTGACGAATGAAAAAAACATGTGTTTGGTAATTCATATCATAGAGAGATGTTTTCTTTCCTGTGTGCAGTCACATCTGTGACAACAGCCTCTAAATTATTCCCACTAATAGACTGAGTTGCAAACAGTACAAAACCAAGGGAGCCATAATCTTTTCCATGAGCGACGTTCTTCACTGAGACGAGATAGGTATTGCAGCCCTGGAGTCAAGTTAATGATATTTGAAATTTAAAAAACGTTGTTGTCACTTCAATGTGAGGTTGTATCGGATGAGGAAAACACGCTGATATAGTGAGAGCATTCCAGAAGAAAGAATAAAAGTAAATGTTGCCCTTCCTAGAAGACTGCACCAACTTAATTTGAGTCTGCAGTGGGTAATTGTTCAATTGGAATCACAAGAAAAGCTTAACAAACCACCAATTTCAGGATATTTAATCAAAATATGATGCATTTAAGATATTATTTGAATAAATAAAGTCTAATTTCGTGCATGAAAAGAGGGACTTTGTTTGCTGGTATACAAACACAAAGGTGTAGGTGTACTGCAATTGAGTATTTTGTGTTTATATTTAGTTTACCCAATGCTGACTTGAAGATACTGTATATATTTTTTGCCAAAGGATCCCAACTGTTAGATTATAAGCTTAGCATTTAGCCGGAATACTCTCCAACTGTTTTTCAGTAAACCATATCATATGTTTTGAATATACAGTATGGTGTCAGTTTAACATTAAAGGTGGGGTAGGTAATTTTGGAGAAACCAGCTCGAGTCCGCTAGAATTTAAAAATACACAGTTGGAAAAAATCTGCCACTTCCTTACAGAGCCCCTCCTCCAACACATACGAACACGCACATGACCAATGAGGGCACAAGATAAGTTTGTGCACATGGAAGGCTGACAGGCAGGTAGGCCATCCAGTTATTTTAGCCAGGCCGGCTCAGATGATTGGTCGCGCTTTTTACAGTACCACGGCTTCCACAGATGACATTTTTTTATGGATTTTTTATCAAAGCACTTAAGATATTCATTGCTATCGGGATGTTAAGAGCATTCCATGGAATATAACAAAAAGTGTATCTCGAGCTGGTTTCTCAAACGTACCCCACCTTTAAGTGGAAAATACGAGGGGTTATTTTCACCACATTTTTAATTTATGTTGCAATAAAAGAAAAAACTGCCCACTACTTTGCTTGTGGATGAAGTGGATTTTGTGTAAAAGTGCTTCATTAATGAATCATAATACATCAAGGTCCAACAATAGTGTGCATTAGGGCAATGCATCTTCACTTAGTCATGCTTTATTAACCAGTATCTTTCATCTGTCTTCTCTTTCATTAGGGATGTGTGGTTCAGAGATGAATTTGACCATTAGCTATGTGTTAGAATTTATGAATATTTACTTTAGCTGGCACCAAATCAAATCAAATATTTTTTCCACTTCATTCAATGCTGTATCTTATTAACAATGGGCATAGTGTATCATTAATATGTCATGTCATTAGGCAGTAGCCTTTCATCCCACTCTGAAATGAGAGGCTTTTATCATGCTTTCTATTTATCCTTATTATGCATGTGGTGACTCAACATACAGAGTTTCTGTGTATTCACACTAGTCCTCATCTGTTCATTGTACATATGCAACTATTAAAAAAAAATTTGTTTTGCAAATAAGTCCTTATTCACTCTGAGAGAGTAATTCTTTTGAAATGTGATTATGTGAGAGTAGAACCCATCAATCCGTGGAGATAAGACAGCCACCCCGGAGCAGTGGATTACAGCCAAATGAGTCAGCCTGTGGTGGAAAACAGCACCAAGTAACTCTGCCCACTACCCGACTACCACTTTGTTCATGACTCCGCTGCCAGCTGAGAGTGAGTCATCTGTTATTGATGCTTGTTTACCCCAAGCCGAAGCTTTGTGGAGAGCCACTGGATTGAGATCCTCACATGCATCAGTCACAGTGTGAGTAGCTACACTTGAAACACCTTCACCTCTATCCAACATTTGTCTGCAAACTATTCCAGCAACCCAAAGAATGATGTCAGATTCGGGCCATTTCACACATCGTGATTTACATCCAATGCAAACGTTTTATGACAATGAGAGGTTGGAAGTAGGAGTGTGAAGGTCGAGGTGCAGCTCCTCTGACTTTCATGCAAGAAAGTCAGAGCAATAGCTTTTCCATTGCCGTAATCATATTTGCCTAACTACCTAAACTATATTGTGAGAAGAGGGGTGGAAGTAACACATGACAAATATCTGCATTATTATAACAAAATCAGGGATAATTGTTTATGCGATTGAGTATTATTTTTTACGCGATTGAGTATTATTCTTTTCATTTTATGGTGGTATTCTTGTGTTAGATTTGTGTAAGACAGTGAGAACAAAGGCCACATAAGTCATGATGAAGTGTGTGAGAATAATCAAAAAGAATGGTACATTTTAAATAAAATGTATGTATAGACCCATATCACAGTTCCTCAAGAGGCTTTGAGAAATCAACTGTCAGGATTCGGGAAAAGGTAGGACCCAAATGTAGTATAAAAAAGACAAAAAGGTCAAGGAACAAAACGCGAGCTTTATTTAAAAAGCTGATAATAAGGTAGCACAAGGTAGTATCAAAACAAAAACTGACCGTGACCAACATGGAGGGAGACAGGAAAGACAATGAACCGACAAGGAGCACAGGGGAAGTCAAGACTAAATACAAAGAAGGGTAATCACAGGACAAGACACAGCTGGGCATGGGAGGCAGAAACACAAGGGCAACAGGTGAACACAATCAGACAATCAGACACAGGAGGGAAAAGACAGGAAGGAAGACAAGACACAGGGAGAACAGAATTGCAAAATAAAACCCATGACAAGACAGACTAAACTAAAATTGTGACATAAAACTAAGTTTGTGACAGAACACCCCCCTCAAGGGACGGATTCAAGAGGTTCAACACAAAGTCCAACACCCCCAAAGGAGGGGGTCCGGAGGACGCGTTTGGGCTGACAGCCCAGAGGTACGGCAGAGGACCAGGAAGGGGTCTTGGGCGGACAACCCGGGGGCAAGGCAGAGGAACAGGAGGTGGTCTCGGGCGGCCGACCCGGGGGCATGGCAGAGACAGAGAAGCGGCTATGGTCGCGGTGGGCATAGTCAGGGAGCCGGGCACAAGGACGGACTGGGTTGAAAAGGGACTCGAGAGGGGACTTGAGAGGGGACTTGGAGTCGGCCGGAGAGCCAACAGGAGACGAGGAGCTGGAGTCGGCCTGTACGCCGACAGGACACGGGGAGCTGGCGTCGGCCAGAGAGCCAGTACTGGAGCCAAAACTGGAGCCGGGACCATGGTTGCGTGGGCCGGAACTGGAGCCGGGACCATGGCTGCTGGGGCCGGTACTGGAGCCGGAACCATGGCTGCTGGGGCCGGTACTGGAGCCGGAACCATGGCTGCTGGGGCCGGTACTGTAGCCGGAACCATGGTTGCTGAGACCGGTACTGGAGACGGAACCATGGCTGCTGGGACCGGAACTGGGGCCGGGACCATTGCTGCTTGGACCGTAACTGGGGCCGGAACTGGAGCCGCTGGAGCACGGGCTGGAATCCTGGCCTTGCATCTTCCAGAAACCTTCCGGAGGATCCGCGGACCTCCCAAGGCCAGGCCAGACCCCAGGAAAGGGTTAGAGGCTTGAGACAAGTTTTCAGGACTACTTGTAAAAAGTTGTAGCGACTCAGGCAACAAGCTCCTGAGCCAGGACTTGCGAGCAGCCTCCTGGCGTGCCTCCTTCCCCGACTAGATGAGGCGTCATACCAGGTATAAAAAATGTACTCAAGAGAGTACCAAAGACGTTCCGCCTGTAGAGCCCAAAAATCAGAATCTGCTGGGTCCAAATTTGGTCGGTTCATTCTGTCAGGATTCGGGAAAAGGTAGGACCCAAATGCAGTATAAAAACTACAAAAACGGTCAAGGAACAAAAGGCGAGCTTTATTTATAAAGCTGATGATAAAAAAAAAACATGACATAAAATAATCAGGTAGCACGAGGTAGTATCAAAACAAAAACTGACCGTAACCAACATGGAGGGAGACAGGAAAGACAACAAACCGACAAGGAGCACAGGGGAAGACAAGACTAAATACAAAAAAGGGTAATCACAGGACAAGACACAGCTGGGCATGGGAGGCAGAAACACAAGGGCTCGAGGAGGGGAACCGAGGAGAGAGGAGGGGAAGCAGCAGGCGGTTAGAGAAATGAGAACTCCTCTCCTCTGAGCGGTCATTTTAAAGAGACGTCCATTAATGATGACAGGAGGCACAGCAGCACTCTGTCTGATGGACAGATGTGTTCATGACGACTTATATATTTACTTTGATTCATTCACAGTGCGGTATAAACAATTAAGAGAAGGAAGCAAGAAAAATCTATAAAAAAAATAACTACATTATTATTAACTTAGGAAAGTCACAGTTATTTGTATATCGTGTAAAATCAAATAAAAGAGAACACATGAGGAAAATCGGCTAGATGTGTGTTTACATTTTTTTTAAATGACTGACAGTGCCACTGGCCCCCTGGTAGTGTGAGCTACTTTAACTAAGTACCCTATTCAAACATTGAATTAATATATAATTCCATCTATTAAATCTAAATAGGCTGAATTTGGTTATTTTGACTGGTTTCCCCTAGGATCCCAATTCAGTATTTCTAAAAAGCACTCGTGAAAAACAGAAACAATGATGTGAAACAAAACGTGAAATTCTTATTGATGGACATTCTTGAAAGGTTTTAAAGAATGAATACAAAACCTGGAGTCATGACAAATATACCAGCTTTAGTTTGCACTGGTGGATCAAGTAGTCAGATTTTCACTTAAAGGTCACCATGGCGGCTGGCCAATAGGGGGCTAAACCACACACAACAACATTATTATTAATTATAATAACAATAACTAATAATACAAATTGTCAATATTTGTGTGTTTAAAATATGGAATGCATATGTGTAAAATATGATTTTTTTTATTATTTGCGCAAAATATATGCTTTTCCTATACACTGTATGATTGAAGTGCTGTGCTGGGGCGATGGAGAAATCTCCCCACGGAGGCGGGTCTCTGTAGCAGGTTAGCCAATTGATGATTCAAGATATGAACGTGTAACATAAAATGTAGCCAATCAGCGTCCTCAAAACTACTACCGGAGGGGCGATTATTGTATCGCCTCAAGTAAGCAACTGCTAAGCAGCTGGACGACGCCAACAGGATTGCAGTGAGGAAACACAATGAGGAACAGGATGATTTTATGCTACTTTAAACTTCTACTCAACTACATTTTGGAAGCCAATATTATACTGGATGAAAAAACATGCATATTTTATCCAAAATAATGAAGTTTTGTGGGGCTTTTGAGTTGGCTTTGCGTGGGTATGACCAGACTGACTCTTCAGTCAAACATGGCATTTTGAGGGGATTGGTGGATTTTGTTTCCTGCACACTGTGCTGGAGGAGAACCTGAAGAACGCCACCGTTTTTAAAGGCACGTCAAAAACGTACACCACATTGATTTTAAGAATAAGAATAATTATTATTCGTTTGTTACATCTTCAGCTTTTTGTATTACTGTTGATTATACCGTTGTTCTGTAATATATATATGTATACATATATTATATACATATATTTATTATATATACATCATAAATATATACATGCAAGTATTGCTAATGCCATTGTTTTTAAGTTTTTGTTAATCTCAAATGCTTAAATTGTTTATGGAGCCATTAAAATGGCAGGTAAATTAACACTGAAAACTCCTGTTTTTTTTTGTATTAAGTCATACTGGGATGTTTGCTGAAATTGATTGCATGTGGCACAGCCCTACCTAGAAACAATTCCACCAGCCGCCACTGGAATCGCCGTCTCTTTTATCTTTGCCACCATCTGGATTGTAGGAGAGCTAGAGGGGCAATTGAATGAGACCTAACTCTTCTTTGTTTGGGAGTGAGTCTCTACTGAGGACAATTTTCTAGTTCTAAATAGACCTAATGTACACATTTATATCTCTCATTAATTTAATTCAGAATACTGATGTCTAGAAAAGGCTGATCGGATACACTGTTTTACCGCAAAGGAGGTAATCTTTGCCTTTTGGTATTTACCTTAGAGATTATCTCAGCTTTTCCTACCACACTAGTTTTACATTTGACTTTTAATTGAATTATATTTTATTCTTATTTTATTGTAATTGTTACTCTGGGAAGGGGTAGATAGTATTGTTTACATTTTTTGTAAATTGTCTATGTGTTTGTTTTGTGAAGCACTTAGAGCTAACTTTGAGTGTCGAAAGTGCTATAAAAATAAAGTTTGATTTAATTAGTGTTGGTGTAAGTGTTTGTGCAATGTATACCTACATACCTTGAACACCATTATTTTTTCTGGTTTTCAATTCATTCACTCACTCTTTTTTTCCTCAGTGCACATACATCCAGATCCCTCAGGTGGAGCAGACCCACGCTGTCGTCCTCAGTAAACCTGCCTGGATGTGGGGTGCAGAGATGGGAGCCAATGACCAGGGAGTGTGTATCGGGAACGAGGCTGTCTGGACCCGAGAGGCCGTCAGCCCCGGAGAGGCTCTACTGGGCATGGACCTCGTCAGGTGAGAACCCTTTTGATGCTGTATGGCTGGATGGATTGAATATTGCAATTACATAAACTAAAATACAACCTAATGGGTTTTTTGTGGGGCCAAAATACTGAGCATGCTTTACTTTTCTTCACCGTATACTGGTTTAGAAACTAAAGGAATTATTGTATTGAAGGAAATACTTTGAAGACTTCATGAAGACACATCTCAAAAATTATAATAATAATAATGAACAGTAAAGCGATTTAGGAAATAAAGAAATATATATTTTCAAAGCTGATTAAAGCAACTATTAACTGTGTTCTAATTATATACAGTTTAAATATTGGACATTCATTAGACCTTTTAACTTGATCCTCTGACGCTTTGATCAGAAGCGTGTGTAGATTGTCAGGAGCCTGTTATGACAGGTGTGGTAAGAACATGAAGGAGTTCTAATCTATTCATCTCTTTGTATAAAAATAGTTAACCAATAGGGAATGTTGCCAAGTGATTCTCAGATACCGTTTCCTCGAAAAAATACGCAGAGGATCGTCTGAACCGCAGAAACAAGCTCAACCGGTCCTCATGGTTAGTTAAAAAGACTGAATACATGAAAAAGTACAATTAGATAAAATGAAAGAATTGTTACCATTTATTTAGAACTTATCATAGGTGGGAGAAGCACTCAGATCGTGTACATAAGTAAAACAAAGCACCAGAATGTACGAATACTCTGTTACAGTAAAAGTCCTGCATTCAAAATGTTATTCAAGTAAAAGTAGAAAAATATTATCATCAAAATAAACTTCAAGTTCCAAAAGTAAAAGTAGTCCTTGTGCAGATTGGTCCATTTCAGAATAATATATATGATATGTTTTATAATAATTGATAATTAAAGTGTTCTCAAAGCTGGTAAAGGTGCTGCTAGTTTGAATGACTTTGTATACTGCAGGGTAGCTTGTGAATTTACTCCAGGTGGAACTAAAGTCTGATTTAACACTTGATCATATTTCACATCATTCATCCACATCTGTAAAGTAACTAAAGGTATTAAATAAATGTAGTGGAGTAGAAGTACACCATTTACCTCTGAATTATAGTGGAGCAGAAGTACAAAGTAGCATAACATTGAAACACTAAGTAGATATCCTTAGTTGCTTTACACCACTGAAATGTATTAACTGTTATACCTACATGGTGTCTTGTAAAAAGAAAGTAATCCAGCATGTTCTCATCAGACTGGGCTTGGAGCGAGGGGACACTGCCTGGGGGGCGCTGACGGTCATCACCAGCCTCCTGGAGCAGCATGGCCAGGGGGGGCCGTGCAGGGAGGACCCTGAGCCGTTCAGCTACCACAACACCTTCCTGCTGGTGGACCGCAACGAGGCCTGGGTCCTGGAAACAGCAGGGAGGCTTTGGGTGGCACAGAAGGTTACAGGTAAAGGGTTAAAGGTTAAGGGGTGCTGAGTGGGAGGTGCATGAGTAGTGAGTGAAAATGAACATTCAGTCAGTGGGCCAGATAGGGTGCCTGGCGGAACACCTACCATTTTCTAATTCACCATGAAGATAAAATGATCCAAAATAGGATATATTTTAAGTAAGGGGTCAAATACAGTATTTTTGAAGGCTGTGTGGCTTGATATTTGCACTGTTTATGCAGCATACATTCTTTCTGGAAAGTTAATTGAAAAATCACCAAATCTCTTGCATAGACATATTTTGCTCTTTTTTCCTGACTTTAAAACCGAAGGACCTTTGCACCCCAGTGCAACAATGTAGACTCACTAAAGGGCCGATAATAGTCATTTAGACATAATGGCCTTTTAACATGAACCAAAGACGCATTAAAATGTGACCCGGTGGAGTCAGGGATCCATAAAGCGATACCACTAGCAAGGCTAAAAGGATTTATGGGACTAAAAAATACTTAAGTTATGAGTGAGTTTAATCAGCCTTAAAAAGCATATCAACACTAAACCACATCAAATCTATACGAAATATTTCTTTACTTAAACAAATCTCTTTGTTTATTCTTTATTCTTTAACATGAGACCAAAGCTTATAGAAAACAGTCAAATAATTCAGGGGATCCTATGACTTTTGTGAAGAGTCAGACCTTCGTGCATCAGGGTTGAAGCACTCTGTCAAGTGGAGATTAACCTGCAAGTATATGCAAATACAGCACAAAGATGCATTAGTGTACATAAACGGCATGATTCTTGCTGAAAGGTGGAACATTTTGAATATGTTGCCCTCTTAAAAAGAAAATTGGAGCATAGCATTTGGAGCAAGGACTCGGAAGACTGGGAGAACACTGGAGAGCTTGAACTGATGTCAGACAATACATTTTTTAGAAGTTCAGCCGGAGAATTGACATAGACATTTGCTGCAGCAAAGAAGTGAAAAAGCTCCTGCTCAACCAATTCTGAATCTCTCTAACCAAGTCCAAAGTATTTCATAATAATAACTTACATTCACATAGCGCCTTCATAAACCCAAGGTCTCTTTTACAGAGGGACAAACACAAAACACACTCTGTGGGACTGAACACACTGGAACTACGAAGAAAACAGACGGGAGACAGAAGGCATATTAGGGGAAAGGGCATGGAGGGACAAGTAGGTGATGAGGAGGAGTTTATAGGTGATGCGAGACCTGGAGCCAGTGGAGGTGACGGGGGGTAGGGGTGATGTGCTGCCAGGGTTTGGTGCGGGTGTGGACCCTTGCAGCAGAGTTCTAACTTGTTCTGAGAGAATAATCAACATTCTGCATGACAAGACATAACAAGCAAAGCACTATAACTCCTGTCCCTTTGCTAAGAATATATTTGCCTAAGGGGAGACACATACCCAATCAGATGGACTACCAGATGTCCCTAAAGCCAGGAAAACATCCTGTATCAGCTTATGCCTGACTCATTACAGTCAATAATATGGGGACAACGCCACTATTAAAGAGAGTATCACCTCAAGGTCGAATGCCTGCGCTCTGTGAGGGGAACAGCTAAGATTAAAGAAATCAAGCATCTCTACAATATAACATCCCCTTCCTTTTCTCAGAGGGTGTGAAGAACATCTCCAACCAGCTGACCATCGGTGCTGAGGGGTCCGCAGAGCACCCAGAGCTGCGCAGCGTGGCCCAGGGCCAGGGCTGGTGGGACGGAGAGGGAGAGTTCAATTTCTCTCAGGTGTTTAGTCCCGAGAACCCACCTGCCAGGATGGAGCTGGCCAAACAGCGCTACAGGGGCGGCACAGAGCTACTCCAGCAACATGACGGTGAGAGGGCTCAAGTTCTTCTTTTTCCAGAATGCCTGTGGACGTCCCCCTTAGAACATAAGTCTTATCTTTTTTTAAATGTCAATCTACTGTAACATTCATCCACTCTCTGCAGGCTCAGTTACGGCTGAGGTGATGATGTCCATTCTGAGGGACAAGCCCAGTGGGATCTGCATGGACTCTGAAGGTTTCTGCACCACAGGCAGCATGGTGTCTGTCCTGCCCAGAGACAGCAGCCTGCCCTGCGTCCACTTCTTCACTGCCACCCCAGACCCCTCAAGGTATGTCACTAGTTTAACTAAGAATTCCTCTAGATTAGACATTTCTTAGAACTATAAAAGGGGAGGTGCAATGATGATGTATTTTTACGAGATGATTGTTAACATTGCAGGGGTTGCCTCGACTAAAAGCAATCGGATTTCTGCATCGGATTTCTAAATAATGCAGAAAATAGATCTATAGAAAACACACGTTTATGATGCTAACACGTTTTGTTAAGCAGGATAATCTCCATTTTTGTAGCTTACATGTAATTTCCAGAAGTAAACATTTAAAACTAGGCTATAAACAAACAAGCTGTTTGCTATTGTGTGCGGTCACCTCAGAAATACTAAGTAATACTAAGTAATCATTCATACAAAAGTTTAAAATAAATGCATCATTTTATGAGTCCGTGAATTAATATTAATTTCCATGGATCTTTCTATCCTTCAATCTGAGGTATGGAACTCTTGTCTCCTCCCTCTGGCAGTCAGAGTAACTACTCAAGCTCTGTTACTTTAGGTCGGATGAACATGAAAAAAGGTGAAGAACTGTCTTCAGAAAAACATGCAATTCAACATAATTGAGGAAGAGAATTTCTAATAATAAATAAATATTGAATTAATACATTTTTGGATTCAAATGGGGCAGTTCTTTTAGAGAAATACTAAGATTAATACAAAAAACTCAACACAATCATTGAAACAAACTTAAAATCAATGTAATTAGCACTTAATCGGGTTCAGTTTTTTCAAGGAAATTAAGTTGTGACTTGGCTTGTTTCCGCAAGGTTATTTTGGGTTGAACAAAAATGCAATGAAATGAAATAGTATTAGAACAAGTCCAATTCAAAAGACAGTGAAAGGTCAAGAAAAAAAGGTTGACCTTAATTAAAATGATTAACCGTATTAAAGTATTAATAAGTGTGGAACTCGATTTTGACAGAATAACAACTGGTGACTTCTAGAATTGTGTGAGTAACATTCTGTTTTTAGACTTCTCTGTTTCAGTGTGTATACTCTGTATAAATGCTCTATAGTTGATCTGACTGAAATTGTGATTTTAAATCTCAAAACCGCTACAGTATATGTCAGGCAGAAACTTGGGACAAGTAATGAACTAACTGACTGCTAGGGTTAAACTTTGATTTAAACCATACTAAGAGCTTTATTGAGTAGGTGTAACTGTATTAAGGGTTAAACTCATAACTTTATAACTTAGGGTTTAATGTAATTGGAAAACCATTGTGACACTGAAAATACAATAACAACTCAGGAGGGAGCCAGTCTAGATTTCCTTTTGAGGGCCACCAGCTGCAGAGAGCTAACTAATTAAAGGGGCGTGGCCCCACAGCTGCGAGAACTCAGCAATCAGGTGTCCATTTTAGGCAGCAACTTTCCTGGAGCGTCAGTCAGACGAAGACATTAGAGTCCTGTTGGAGTAAGACTGACAAAGACATTAGAGTCCTGTTGGAGTCACGAGGGAGGCAAAGAGGAGGCAAATCCTACTTTGATTGAGCTAAGTATCTCTAGTATTTTATTTTAT